TAATTCAAAAAACACTTGGATCAAGTGTCCTAAATTGCAAAAAACCTTTGTAGGTAGTTTTTTTTTGACCTTATATTAAAAAAAAACTTTTTTAATAGTGAGGAATATTTGAATTATGTCCTCGCCTTTAATTTAGGGACCTATCTTTATTTGGGTGACTATAAGGTCATAAAAGATGGTCCAAAGAAGAGAAACTAGTGTTTTGTCCTGATTGATACCATTGCTAATATATAAGAGGTTGATTAGTTTATAATGGAAGATTATTTGAAGTTCTTTATTATTAAGCAGATTTAAAACTAATGAAATAACTTGTGTAGGCAGTTTTATTCTTTTTATAGTTGCATCCAGGCTATTAAGATTGATTGAGTCGAATGCTTTGAAAATATCGAAGAAGGAGATCTATAATTCTTTTTTCAAATTATTGGCAGTTTCTAGTTCAGAGTTGATGATTGAAATTGGTTCCATAGTGCTTTGGTTTTTTAGATTAGCAAAATTAAAACCGGAATAAATCTTTCTTTTGTTAATAATATCAGAAACTCATTTGTTAATTATTTTGATAAAGATTTTGTGACTGGTTTCAATTAGTGAGATAGGACAGGTATCTGCTAAATCATATGACCAGATTATTTTTTTTGGCAACAAAGTGATAGCTGACTGCTTTCAGTGTTTAGGTGGAAGGAATGTGGAGAGTACTTTGTTAAATAAATTTTTGATTTGTTGTCTTGCTGTTGTACTGAGATTGATCCAAGCTTCATATGGGATGCAAGTAAATCCTGATGCCTTTCTCTTGAGTAGGCAAGAGAGAACTGAATCGATTTCTGGAAGTGAGATTTCATTGGAAACTATATTGAATATATTATCCAGAATTGTCCTTATAGGGGAATATTGATCTTGTCAATTTTGATCAATAGTGAAAGGTTTTGGTTCAATAATTTTTTTGAAATGATTTATAATAATTTTGATTAGTTTATCAGGGTCATTATATAGCTCATCTTCTTCCAAAAGAATTGAGAGGTCAAAAGATGGTTTTAAATCATCCAAGACTTTTTTGAGAGCGTGTTTGTGTTTGCTCCTAAATCTGGTATAATTCTCCTTAATATCTTTTTGTAACTCGAATATAATATTTTCATTTGCTTTGACCACCTTTTTACTGATTAAAAGTTTTATAACCTTTTTCAATAATTTTGGGGAAGGGGCTAGGTTGGAGATTCTATTGTGTATCATTAGTGCTGTACAGTAAAGTTTCGATATTGAGGGCTTTTGTTCTCTTATAGCTTTCAGCACCTTTTTTGCAGATTTGATTGCTATGGTATTATACATATGGCGTAAAGTATTTTGCCATTGACTCAATTCCCAAAATTCTTAAAAATAATTGCATCATGACTAAAGATGGGTCTTTAAATTAAAGGTGAGGACATAATTCAAATGTCTCTCACAATTAAAAAAGTTTTGTTTTAAATATAAGATCAAAAAAAAACTACCTACAAAGGTTTTTTGCAATTTAGGACACTTGATCCAAGTGTTTTTTAAATTATGTCCCTATTAAAGTAATGAATAAATAATTATGTCCCTTCAAAAGGGACATAATTGATCTGCGAAATTTTATATGCTAAATAGTTTAGGGACCCATCCTTAATTATAGTTATAACATGATTGTATTAACAACATATGTAAAAACTTGAAATTAATAAAGTATAAAGGACAAGGCCCAGCTAGTGTTTAAAAAAAAAAGGTAAAGTAAATAGATTGCAAAATATAGAGTAGAGTAAATTGATTTGATTTGTGAAATGTAAAATAAAGTAAATTGAACAATATTTTAAAATACTTTTGATACTTATTACATTAATATTTATGCTAACGGCTAATGATTAATATTATTAAGACATTATAATTAAGATCACTAAAGATATCACAATGGAAGCATAAAACTGCCAAACAAAATATATCAATTAATATTAATATTATTTAATGTTTCAAAAAAAAATCAAATATATTTATTGACTTTAATAAAATGTTTTTAAAAATTATATATTAATATAAATTTAAAATTAAATATTTTTTTAATAATCTATATGTTATTAGTTTGATAAAAGTCACAAGTTTAGGCATATATTATGATTACTGTGTCATATATCTTGGAAATACAGAATAGCATTAATAACAAGCATTAAAAATATAGTTATAGAAGCAAATATAACTTATCCAATAATCTGTTTTAATCTTAATAATTTATCTTTTCTCGATTGTTTTTTTACTATCATTAATATAAATCGTAATACCATAATAAAAGAAAAATAACAACAATAATGATAATAAAATAACAATAAGAAGAAAGCAATTAGTAAATAGAAGTGCTATATAAATATTTTAATTAATAACTTATTTTTTACAATTATAAGAGGCTGTAGCCATGTTATCAAGAGGAACCAGTGCTGAAAAAGAAAAGAAGAACTTGCTAATAGGAAAGTTTCTTGGTCAAATCAATTATACAAACTTGAGAACAGTGAAATGACTGACTTGCCATTTTGTAGTTCCATAATATTAAACTAAAACCAAAAAAAATGGAAAAATTTTTTGTATATCACCAAATGTACTAGTTTTGTCTGTTATGAAATCACAACAAATTATTAATTTTGACTTGGTTTGATTAAAGTTTTTTTCACTGATAGCACTAGTAAAGATGAATGGTAAATAACAAATGTAAAATTTTAGAGCTCAAAAAAAAAAAAAGAACTCACCATTTATTGATACCAATGGTGTAATCACAGGATTTACACCTTAATTTGAATATTTATTGTTTCAAACATGCAGTTTCATATAAGTTTTGCGCTTATTAAGAATGATTTTTATTTAATATAATAAAATCAGATATTAAAATAACTATAACAGGATAATTTGAGACGAGAAGTTTGTCACGTACCGATTCCCGCAACTGTACAGTGAGAAACCTGTTCCTATTGTAGGGAAAAATGGAAAATAATGTTACACATAGCTTTGCCAAAGTTTTATTGTTATTGGAGAGTATGCCCACCTTATCCGCTGTGAACAAAACGGAGAATTTTGTTTTGCATAAAAAAATTTTTTTAATGTATTATAATTTTCCAATTTACAAGCGATTTATTTTCTCGTCAATCAATACAAAAATAACGGAATGGGTTTCAACACAATGATTTTTTATTAAATATCAAATTTGATATACAGTATATAATAATTACATAACTAGGTTTTGACGTAGAGATAAGATTTAAGATGATAATTGATTATAACTCAGACATGAAAGTTGTTTTCATAAACATTTTGACCAACACCTGCTAGGTAAATTTTATCTTCGTGCTCACTGAATATGTCTGGTTTAAATATTTCATTTTCTGAATATACGATGCACCATTTAAGTTCATAACTAAATCTTGCATCACATTCATCACTTTCATAATTGTCTTCATTGTCTTCATCAGAATCATTGATTATTCCATTCGATCTTTCACATTCTAATTCGTAGTTATCTTCATTTCCAGAATCATTCGCTTCCGTATCTATTTCATCATTTTCCATTTCTTGATGATCCATACAATCATCTTCATTGTTTATTACATAATCATCCCAGTTGGTATAATCGATAATATTTTTAATTTCTACTTCCATTACACCTTCTTTATATAATGTTATATTAGATGTTAATTGGGGTTCATTATTTGATAAAGGAAATTCGAAGGATGTAGTAAAGATTGAATTTTTCGGCAAATCTGCGCAAACATTTAATTTCAAATCAAGCAAATTGGATTTATCTGATACGTGTATTTCTTCTTTTCCAATGTTTAAAATATATATTTCACGCGTATACGTGCTATAATATCCAATCTCTGAAGGGATCCCAATCATTATCCATGTGATTATATAATTTTCCAGATTCATATTACTGTTTATTATAATAATCCACGGTTAATTAGGACAAAACACATTTTAAAGGGATAATAATAATACTAATAAACGTACCTGTATTCACCGACAGCTTCTACCAATACTGAAAACCCATATAGACTTTCTGATTTAAATTTTACGAGTATATCCTTAATTTGTTGACCATTTTCTGTAATTAGCTTTCCGAATATCATATAGTTACTGCTTTGTAATTTTTCCGAAAATGTAATGTGATAATATCTAGCACCTTTATGAAGTTGCAAGACTCCAGTCATCAATACCCTTTCCCTTATATTTAAAGTGATTGGATTCTCATTTTGATTATTTGAAGGCACGGACAATTCGTGTTCAATTCCGAGAATTGATTTAATCTGTGCTTGGATTGATTCGTCAAAAATTTCATAAATTGGAAACAGCTCTTTATGATCGATAATCTGCATTGAATAATTTTCTTTACTTTTGCAGTAATCAAGCCAGTCTGAAAGGTTTTCTCTTTTTATAATATCACCGGATGTGGAAACCAAGTAAGTTGTATCAAAATCATAAGGTTTTAGGTAATCTTCCCATGAACGAAGTACATTATTCTCTTCCAATTGACTCGGATCTAATACTTGATCATTGTCGTAAATAATTTTTGCTGACTCATAAAAGTTTTTTGGTAATAGACGTATCATTCTATATAATTTAAACCCTATTTTAACCATTTTCGGCATAAAATGCCCATAATGTGAAAATACATTCATTAAATTTTGATATGGGTTTGTATTTTCCAATGCTTTGATAATTTCAAGTTCGAATTTTTTGGAAGGTTTTCTATCAATGAGAAGTTCTGCATGTTGATACTGAATTTCAATATATACATTATGCACCGGCGTTTCGTCAGTTAACGGGTTTATTGGTGATTTAATGGTATCCTTAATAAACGCGAGCCATTCATTCGGTATTTTGTTGCATTTAAAATCTATATTGTTTTCTAATAAAAAGGATTCATTCATTTTTTTACAAATTTTATACTTTACATTATAGCCACTAATATCTTTTACTATTGGCCTCGATTCAAGAACACACGGGCTCAAGTTTGATTGTTGTGCTGATCGAGCATTAACTATCACCCCGTAATTAATCTTAAAAATTTCTCCGTACATTTGTAAGGCCTCTGAATTATTTGGCTCAATTTTTAGTGACATATTTATATCAGCAAGAAATTCACCTGTTTTTCCCAGAAATTTATAAGTTTCTCCACGTGAAATTAACAACATTATATTGTCGGGTTTTATACTTAAAGCTAAATTTAGATCTTCAAGTGATTTGTTAAAATTCCCCAGAATTCTAAAAGTTTCTCCACGTGCTTTCAGTGTTAACACATTTTTTGGCTCGATACTTAATGCTTTACCAAAATCTTCTAGTGCTCTATCAAAATTTCCCAAAATTTTATTGGTTTCGCCACGTAATCTCAATGCTTTAATATTATTAGATTCATCAATTAATTTTCGGTTAAAATCTGCTTTCTGATACCAATAAGTTGCTTTCTCGTGGTTTTTAGTGGTTCCAATTCCTTTGTGATAACAATTTCCAACATTATTTTGACCAGTGATATTACCACCTTCAGCAGATTTCAGATACCATTGAAATGCTTTTTCATTGTCTTTATTGGTTACAATTCCTTTGCTATAAAAATTTCCAACATTATTTTGTCCAGCGGCATTTCCACCTTCAGCAGATTTCAGATACCATTGGAATGCTTTTTCATAATCTTTATTGGTTCCAATTCCATTTCGATAACAATTTCCAAGATTATATTGTCCATTGGCATTTCCAACTTCAGCCGATTTCTGATACCAGTAAAATGTTTTCTCGTGGTCTTGTGCGGTTCCAATTCCATTGTCATAACACCTTCCAAGATTATACTGTCCATCGGCATTTCCACCTTCAGCTGATTTCTGATACCAATAAAATGCTTTCTCGTGGTCTTGTGCAGTTCCAATTCCATTGTCATAACACCTTCCAATATTATACTGTCCATCGGCATTTCCACCTTCAGCTGATTTCTGATACCAATAAAATGCTTTCTCGTGGTCTTGTGCGGTTCCAATTCCATTGTCATAACACCTTCCAAGATTATACTGTCCATCGGCATTTCCATCTTCAGCCGATTTTTGGTACCAATAAAATGCTTTCTCTTCGTCTTTCGTAGTTCCAATTCCATTTTCATAACAATGTGCAAGGCTATTCAGTTCATTGGTATTTCCACTTTCGGCAGATTTTTGGTACCAATAAAATGCTTTTCCACGGTTTCGAATGGTTCCAATTCCATTTAGATAACAATCTCCAAGATTATACTGTCCAGCGGTATTTCCACCTTCGACCGATTTCTGGTACCAATTAAATGCATATTCTTCGTCTTTCATAGTCCCAATTCCATTTTTATAACAACGGCCAAGATTATACTGTCCAGCGGTATTTCCACCTTCGGCAGATTTTTGGTACCAATAAAATGCTTTTTCGTAGTTTTGAGAGGTTCCAATTCCTTTTTCATAACAATAACCAAGGATATTCTGATTCCAAGAATTTCCACTTTTAGCAGATTCAACGTATAAAGAAAACTTTAAGGGATCCTAAATAAGTTATTTTGCAAATTGTATCATAAACGAAAATAAGAAATAGCTATGTTATATGCTGTAAATTAAATATTTCAGAGTAAAAAGTAGTTTCCATTCCTATAATTTTATTTTATAAATAACAAAAGGTATTAGGGTTATATTATGAGTTTACAAAAAAAATGATCGAATAATGATAAATATGTAACTTACTATTTAAATAATCGTATTCATTCCCCCAAATCATTACTAGATTAGGACCATATTTTTTTGCCCTACACATAGCTTCGTCAGCATGATGAAGCAAATCATTAAAAGTTTCCACAAATGAGTTTACACCAGAAACTCCAATGCTGATTGTAATTGATAATTTCTTTCCCTTATAACTAAAAGAATGAGATTCAACTGAAGCTCGAATTTTCTCAGCACAGTCGAATGCCAAGTCAACGCTAGTGTTATTAAGGAGAATAGTCATCTCATCACCACCATATCGTGCAAAAATATCTTCGGGACGAATAAGAGTCTGGATAAATTTTGCCAATTCTATTAATACATAGTTTCCGGCCTCGTGACTATTATCATCATTAATCCTTTTGAAATGATCTATATCAAGAAACATTATACTCAAGTATTGCTTTTTTTCTTTTGCATTTTTAAATCCATCTTCCAAACTTTTTAGTAAAAAAGCCCTGTTGTAGATCAGTAAAAGTTTATCGATATTATTTTCATATTCTTCAGTAGGAAGATATTGAAAGATGCAGCGTCCCATTCTAATTATGTCCCCCTTTTCTAAAGTACGGCTTGAACGGAATGTAAGCTTTTCATCATTTAAAAAAATTCCTAATTTAGATCCTAAATCGATGATGTCAACCTTTCCTTGAAAATTTTTAATAATTGCATGTTGCTTAGAAATTTCTTGATCCTTTATAATAATATCATTTGAATTGTTTCTTCCTATAAATGTTTTGCCTAGAGGAAGGAAAAAGTATTGATTTTGAGGGGAACCTTTGATAACTGTTAAACAAGCTTCGTTTTTTGATGCAAATATATTATTCCGAGAAGAAATTTCAGGAGTGTAATCGCAATCTTGATACACTTGATCAATATCAACGCTTTCGAGACAATGAATAACCTCTTCGATTGATGGACGCTTTTTAGGATCATCATCCCATGCGTTATGATAAAGTTCAATATAATCTATCGGTGTTAAGTTCACAGAGGTTTCTCTCTCTCCTGAAATAACTGCCTTCTTTAGCTTTGCTCCTCTTAAATCGGTTTTATTAAAAAAAGGAGTTTTACTACTTGATATTTCCCATAGTATCCACCCTAAACTGTAAATATCCGATGGTTTATCATATTTATAATCAATCGTACGATCAAAAATTTTTGGATCCATGTAAGTAATATCTTCGGGATCTGCATTTTTATCAACGATTTTGAATGTCGAGTCCTTTAGAGTTACAGACGAACCAAAACCTATAATGACCAATCTACCACTATGCTCTAATATTTTCTTTGGGTTCTTTAGTTAAAGAATAAGTCAATAAATTAGTTCTAATAATAACGGTTGGCTAATTATATTGAGTACTATATACTGACCAGTTCACAATGTAGAATATTTGCATTATGAATATATCTCAATCCGTTTGCAATATCCATAGCCGTTTTTATCTTAAGAGGCCAGCCTTTTTTCAAGACCCTTTCATTTTTCAAAAATTCTCTAAGATTTTTGCCATCACAATATTGAATTACTATAGAGTAATTATTCCTTTGAGGGTCTAATATAATAAAGTAGCGGTTATATTAATCACTATCCGTACAGAAAAAAGAAATATACTTTATATGTATATAAATTACCTTTGGTAACACCAAGAAAACTAACGGTGTTTTTATTATTACCAATTTTTTTCAAATTCGCTATCTATTATCCACAATTTAAATAAATAATAATAAAACAAACCCGAAATCTAAAATTCAATAAATTTGTAAGTACCTCTCTTTTAAGCTTTTTATAATATTCATCATTATTATTTTCCTTTGAAATTTTAATTACAACATTTTCCTTTATCCTTTCCTGATATGCACGTTTGACCATACTCATTCCATCATAGATAACTTCTATATTTTGAAATTCGTTGTAATCAAACTCATTTAACACGCCGTCGTCAATATAATTTTTGATTGACTCCATTATTGTTTAGCAAAGGATCTGAGGTCAAGTACTGTACTATATATATTGTTTACAGTACCGCATAATGCACGTTTGGAAATAGTGTATTTAAATAGAGTACCAAATGCTTTATTAACTTACACAACGTTGCTCATTAAGTGTAACGCGACGATCATAGTACAGTACACAAATTGTGCAACTACAGTACAGTATGCAGTAGTTACACCGAAAACAATAAAATAGGATCTATTCGGTGCTAGAATTCAACAATTCACCTTCGACATGTTCAAACGTTTTTTTTCTTCAACAAAAAAAGATATCACTATAAAATTTAATGAAAAAGAATATCCTTATTTTCCGGAACATGACTATAATCTTGAAACAATTAGAGAACGAATAGCAGAAGAAATGGAATGAGTTCCAAAGAAATTCAATTTACTAAAGAGAATGGAGAATTAATACCTTTTTACGAAGAAATTCGTTACATAATATCGAAGATGAATAAACTTGAACTTGTTAGTGATGTGGAGGTTCTCGTGCATGTAATTTGCGAACAAAATCAAGAAAATAAGATGCCAACACATCCTTATAATTATTCCTTGCCTGTAGGCAAAAAACTTGCGGAAATTAGAGAAATCTTCGAAAAAGAAGGTGAAAAGGATGCGAATTCTCTACGTATGGGGTCAAATTGTTCCTTTGTGCACAATAATGGGGGGGTGATTCTAAAGGAAGGAGAAGAAAAATATAAATTATCAACAATTTTAAAATTTGAAAATAATAAAAATAATTTATATATTCAACGTACGTTGAATCCAGATTGGAAGCGACTGATTAAATTGTGCGAAAATGGATTTCATTTTAAAGAATATTATGCTGAAAAAATAGATCAAGCACGTAAACGAGCATACAAATTTAGTATGAAAAACAAACCAATTAATACATGCGAAGAAGATTACTTGGAATGTGAAAATAAATTTGAAGAAATGTTTAAACGAAATTTTATTTCTTATGGGAATGCTCCTATCTCCACACCTCTATTACCATGGCTTTTGTTTTCTCTGGGTATCTCATATGAAAGATCGAGCGAACTATTAACAAATTACGAAAATTCTGATTTGTATTCGGTTACAAGGGTTGAGAAGGAAGAGGTAGAACTTAAAGATATAAAATTAACCGAAGATTTTGTTGGTGAAATAGAAGAGGCGTTAAAGGAAAAAGACAATGATCAAAAGATTAAAAAATTGAGAGCTATATTAGACGAATACGGCCATTTTTATGCAGAGTGCATAACTTTAGGAGGAGTAATTGTTACAAATCAAACAGGCAAGAAAGAAACATGTAAGTTTATTATTGAGTTTACGATTATTTACAGTATATTTACTTTATAGTATGACAATTGTCAATTATACGATTAGATAAAACAACAAGCGGAAAAAATATTGGAGGAAATATTGCTGAAAATAGAATAAATTGGAGAAATAAAAATTCTAACAGCGAATCAAACAAAAAAGATGCTTCATTTCGTCGTATTTTAGGTGGTGATCAAAGTAAATATAATGATAACAATAAAGGACCGTGGATAGATTCGCTTAAAAACTCCGAAAATTGGGAAATCGTTCGCTATGAAAAAGTCCATCCAATATTTAATCTATTGGATCGCGAGTTAAAGAAAGAAGTGTTAAAAATTTTTGGCTTGCAAATCCGGAAAGGTAATATTAACTAAAATAATCTAAATTGTAGTACCAGTGTCAAATAATAGTTTTCGTCTAATTTATTGAATATATAGCAAGTGTGGATGAAATTTCTGTCTTTTGGGATCCGAAAAAGAAGACGCCATATGTTTATAAATTATTTAAACATCTAGAAAGCGTTGATGACATAGAAGAGTGTAAAATTTTTGCTTCATTAACTTGCAGATCAAAAAACGAAATATTCTCTATGAGACTTCATTATGAAAGCGAAAAAGAACCGACCATCATAATTCATAAGATTGATGACAACTCCAAGCATTCGTCGAAGGTCAAATGGTATAAAATTCGGATAGATTGGATGGTTGATGGCTACCCGACAGTGTTTGATTTTGGCCATCAAAAAATATTATTTGAAATCAACAATCTTGAAATATCAGATCCAGAAAATCCGTGTTTGCGAAAAAAATCTCACATGCAGGAGTTGTCCGAAGATTGCATCTTGGGAACAATTTCATCAAACACATTACCTACCCCGAATAAATCCTCAATTACTGGCGATAATTATAATAATCCATATAAAACCACAATTGTAACCGGAATTCATTTTTCTCTTAATGAACATTTTGCATATGTATTTGCATATGATCTTGAAAAGAAAAATAAATTCGAAGATAAAAATTTTATTAAAAGTTTAAAGTTTTATTCAAGGTAACAACATTTTGAACGAGAGTCTATTATTTTGTAGTTATCAATCTAACATTATATTCTATATTTCTTTTAAAAAAGCACCATCCACGAGAGAGGTTCAGAATATAAAGATTATATGGGTCAGATAAATATTGATTGGAATAATGGTATTATCAAAAGACCTAATAAGCTCTTGAAAAAAGAAGACATAGATATTTGCCCTTTATCAAAAATTTTGAATGAACGAACCAAAGAGAAAGGGCCCTCCTTAGCTTTGTTTGTGAACCATTTCCGGGAACAATCCAAAGAATGCGGAATTCTAAATATATATTCTAACAATATCTTATATCGACCATTGAGCGATAGTCGTTCTACCAAGCAAACAGGAAAACTTTCATTCTTTTGTATTCCAGTCTAAGATAAATTTTTGCACGGCTTCATTTCAAGTGCATAACATTGAAATCTGAAAATCAATTATTCCTGGTGCATAATTATATATTTACTGTAAGTATTATATTATAAACTTTGATTTTTTTGGACCATATATCATATAGTTTTAATTTTATGTCTATGAATGTAGAATAGACAAGCTTTCTAGGTTCATAGTTTAAATATTTCAAAACAAGTATTAAAATTTTTTTTTTATTGATCTGAATCGTAAAAATATGTTTTCCTTTAAACATTAAACTTTGTGATTCATGCGAATGTACGCGAATACTATATAATAACAAATATTTTAAAATGCTTGCTTTTAAAATTTGCCTGGGCATCAAAATAAGGCCAATTTACTTACATAGGCATAAAAAAAAATATCGTATAATAAAATAGCTGCCAGAAAATTGCAAATTAAGTAATATAAAGGTAATAATAAAGTGCGTCGAGTAGTAGAAATTAGTGCTTTGGTATTGGTTTATAATAATATAATATACACAGCCGTGATTTCATCTTTTCCATGTTTTAAATACAGTGTAATTAAATTTTTAATGGCTTTTTGATAATAATTAATATATCTCCATATATTAAAAAAATTGAACTTTACTAGATATGGCGTAGGAGACACATGCTCTTTATATTAAACGTATATATAAATATTTCGATCTTTAGTATATTGTATATATTAATTCAGAATTGTACTTTTAGCCATTATCAAACAACTATTATTTACTGCATCACAAACGTAGACAATACTGTAATCAGTTACAATTAATTTATTTTTATATTAATACTAATAATATTATATATTCAAAGAAAAATAAAAGTTTTCAAATATACGATGTTGTAAAAAATTTTACGAAGATTAAAAATTATTTTCAATCATATACTTTTTATTTGAACATAATTAAGAATATTCTAAAATATAAAGGAAATATAATTTATGTCAATATTTTAACCATTATAATTGTTAATAGCATATAATAACGCCACGTAAATTTTATAACTTAAATAAAAAGGATTTTTTTTATAATTACTGTATATCCGCATTATAAATATATTTTTAATTTTTTTCATTAAAAAATTATTATAATTATAATTATTATTTGATTTAACGTAACCAATTATAATTATATTTATATTTGTTTTAATTTTTTAAAATTTATAAATTTAAAATAAATATGATACTGAGTATTAATTTAAATTAAAAAAAAAAAAAGATTTTATTATTTTTGATATTTTAATTACTTATGTCAAACTCTATAAATAAATTAATTTAAAATAAATAATTATGTCCATATACAATATACTGTATACTGTATTTAATTATTGTATAATAATATAATTTCTTATCTAATTTAAAATTATTAATAATTTTTATGGAAATTCAATTCTTGATAAATAACATATTTAAAAATATTCATTATTTTATAATGTTGCTCATTCAAAAATTATTTATTATTTATTTATTTATTTTTCTAATAAAAATTTATTGTGGATCTTAATATATCATTAAAATAATTTTTATTAAATAAATGTCATAGCATAAACAAGATTGGCAAGCGTTTGATATTTAAAATGTTTTTAGATATTGTAAACAAAAATATTTGATTTTTGTAATGCGTCCATCTTCAAGTAAGTGTTAAATGAGAATGTGTATATACTGTAATTATTTGTAAAGAAATAATAAAAAATCATTAATCTATTCTGTTTATGAATGATAATGACACCGTAATTGTAATTGTAATTAATTTAGAATCTATTCTGCAAAACACGAGATTTGAGAAATATTAAAAATATTCCGACCGACAATAATAGAAAATAAAAATAATTTATATAAAAATAATTTATAAAAGAACGGGCGTGACAGTTCTCGTAATAGAAATGCCATTTATAATTTATAATTCTAGGAAAAAATTTTTCTCGCATTTGACTTATCAATTTATTGTATGTACATATACTGCGATATGTGATTTTCTGCTCAGAAACATCTTTGAAAAATTCGTTTTTACCGTATATGATACTAAGATGTCTATATTTTTCCAATATTAGTTATCTTATGTATGCGGTAATCCAAAAAATCATAATATTTTGGTGACTTATCAATTCTAACATGTAAATAATGAACACCCAAACCGTTCGTTGATAACCATCGTGGTGATTTCTTGTCCAAAGATTCAAATAGACGATTGGCTACCTCCTTCCAAAATTTTTGCTGCTGCTCAATTGGCGCATTCATGCTAAAACTACTGATATGTTTATAATCTCGAATTTCATTGCAATCACCTTCTTGCGGGATAGGAACAATCAACATTGCATCTTTTCCTAAATTCGGAAAACTGCAAGCATATTCATCACGACTTTTAAAAATATGCTCTTTGAAATCCGCGAAATCCTGTTTGATGTAATTTAAAATCCTAGATTTAACTGCAACAAATTCAAATGTCCTATGTATTGTTTCACTTGACACGGGGACGCATTCCCAAAAGTACGCGGAAAACTCTGCTGTTGCATGGTTTAATGAATCTCTAAACGTCGCCAGAAAATGCTCATCTTCGTTTTTTAAGAGACTGATAAAATCGTGGAAACTGATAGCATGATTGTTCGGGTCTTTAAAAAAATATTTAAATGCATCTTCACTTATTTTAGTGGGAATGTATTTGTACATCTGTTCGCACATTGATTATTCAATTAATTTTCTATTGAAGAAACGATTTCTCGGAGAGAGTAAAGTGCTGTGCACTTTATGTAAAAATTACTATTTAAAAAGCGATTGGATGAAAAATAACTACCGAACAAAATAGGCATGTCATAACACTGACTTACTGTATTCTTCATTCTTAGTTTGGAAACATATACTGACGCCACCGCCCAAAATAGATAAAAATCGTCCTATCATCATTGATCATTGTGGAGTAGGTACGCCCAAATCCTAAATGATAAAAGATTAGACGTGTAACTGTCATCAATGATAAAAATGGTAATGAAAGTTGTGCGAGAATTTATAGCTGTATATCAATGAAATATCGCATTATTATATTGCCAATCAAAAGTTTCAATATTAATTACGCCTTAAATAAGCACATTTTTATAGTAATATTATTTATCAAACCAATGATATAATATTTTTTTTAAACAGTTTATTTAATCGAGTATGTACAAATTCATGTTATACAAATTTTACACTTTTTTGTTTTTCAAATAAAACTCATTAAGGATTTCTCCTACTGTGTGGCTTATTGACATATGTTGATATATAGTGCTAATAAAAAAAAATTGGAATTTATTTTTTTATTGCATGATGATAGTCACATGAAATCACATGAAACTTTGACTAATTAAAATTTATAATTGACATTTTTAATTAAAAAATTTTAATAAGCTATATGATCCTGTTGCTTTCTATAATCAGTTCACAATATTTTCTCATCAACTGAACTAATCCAATTAAACAGATTCTTTAATTTTTTTTACTTCTCACTTATATACCATTCTAAATTATCTAAATTTTTTGGCATATGTTTCTCCACATTGCCTTTAACAATTCCCCATAAATTTTCAATCAGATTCAAGTCGAGACTATTAGATAACCATCTATAATAGCTGATATATTTTCTTTAATAAAAGTTTTGCCAAATAATTTATGAACTTTGGATTATTATTATTCCAGAAATATCAATTATTGCCAAGTATTCTTTTAATTTCTAAAATACATTTATAAAGGATTTCCACTTAAAAACTTGTATTTATAATCTGTTAAAAAAAAATAAAGTTAATTTTTTCCTTATACAAAATCCCTAAGCAAGAATCTTTATTTGGCTTTTTGTTATATAATGAATTGATCATATACTTTTGTACAATATTTTACAATATTTCAGTAGAGTTTAAATACTATTTTATTGAAAAAAATATTTGTTTCTATATATTGTCAAAGTGATTTTATATCTATAATATTTGGGTTTTTTTTTGCTTTTCAATAAGTATAAAAGTAATCTGTAAAAGACTTTTTATATATCTAATCTTATTTAAATACCTTTCAATAGCATGACATAATATTTTTATATTTATAAGATTTTAATATATTATAATAATTTAAACAATAAGTTATATTTAAGTCAAAATTAAAACTATAAAAAGATACAAATTTAACAAAAATAATTATTTTATTAACTTGTTTACAAAAAAAAAACTCTTTCCTGATTCACTTGCATTCGTCAAAAATTACCAAATTAGGAAACAAAAATTTTCTCGCAAAACAAAAACCCTAAAGACCCTGGAGGGTCCTCCACGTCCTCCAAGGGTCAAACAAACGAACCTTTACATGTCCTACTTGATGTTCTTATTACCGATGTAAACAAATGCCTGGCAGTTATTATTCACAAAAACGTTAACACCAATGTAATCTACACCACCCACCCAGTTTCCACCACCAGACTTCCCAAACTCTCAAATCCTCCAAAAGTATGGCTTACACCAGTTCGAGTTCAGGAAAACAACCAAGAAACCTACAAAGTCATTTCAGTATCCTTCGAAATCCGGAAGAAAAGATTGGGAAACCACTACACCGAAGTCAAAGTAACACTTCCAGATCCAATGCCCCTGGACGACTTAAACACTTTCTTCAACTACCAACATGCATTTTTACTCTCAGACGAAGACCGAACAAGTATCCTGAAGGAAATGATGAAGCAAAAGCTTTACTATGACCTACACA